TTGATCTGTTGACGGACACTTACACTGTGTCCAAGATTTAGCTATATGAATTGTGCTGCTGTAAACATGTATCACTGTAAAATGATGTCTTTAACTTTTTTAGGAAGATACTCGGGAGGGTCAAGTGGAATTTCCAGTTTTAGATTCTGAGGACTGTCCACGCTGATTTCCATAGTGGTTGTACACCAACAGTGTAGAAGGGTTCCTGTTTCCTCGAAGCCTCACCAACATGTATTTGATTTCGTGATGATGGCCACTTCAAAGGAGGAAAGGTTTATTTCAGCTCACAGTCTGTAGAGGTTTCAGTGCATAGCCTGAAGGCAGGGTGGCACTGCAGAGGGGCATCGCAGAGGAGAAACAGTTGGTGGTAGGCGGCAGCCAGCAGCAGCAGTGAACCTGCCTGTCCCTTTTATCCCATCCAGGCTACAGGCCTTTTGGGTGGTGCCACCTACACCCAAGGTGGGGTTCCTATCTTCAGTAAATCTACTCAGCCACACCCAGAGCCATGCTAATTCTAATTAGTGGACTAAATTAGTACCACACACCCTTAGTACCAGTATCACACATTCTAGATCCAGCTAACTCCAACAGTCCCCACCTATGAGCCGTGAGGATTTGAGGACATCTAGGCACAAGCCATAACGCCTGCTTTCTGGAGGGAGGTGGAATCTCAGTGTTGTTTTAATTTGCATTTCTCTGATGGCCAAGGAGGTTGAACATTTTTTTCATGTATTTATTGGCTATTTCTTTTTCTGAGAAGTGTCTGTTCACTTTAGTTGTCCATTTTTAATTGCATCTTTTATTTTTTTGGGGGGGTCTGATTTTATGAGTTTTTAAATATATATTCTACATATTAGTCCTCTGAACAGTAGCTATCAAAAATTTTCCCATTCTGTAGGTTGTCTCTTCACTATGTTGTGTCTTTTGCTGTGCAGAAGCTTTTTAATTTAATGTAATGCATTAATCCCAGATATTGTTAATATGTGTTTTTATGCCAGTACTACCCTGTTTTTATCACTGTAGATCTGTAATATAACTTGAAGTCCGGCACTGTGATGCCTCCTGCTTTGCTGTTGTTGCCTAATATTACTTTTGCTATTCTGGAGCTCTTCCAGTTTCCTATGGATTTTAGGAGTGTTTTGTCCAGTTCTGTGAAGAAAGCTATTGGTATTTTGATTGTGATTGCATTAAATCTATCAGTTTTGGAAATGTGGCCACTTTGACAATATTTGCTTCAAGGGATAGTTCCATTTTCTGATGTCCTCTTTGATCAGAGTACTGTAGTTTTCATTTGTAGAGGCCTTTCACTTCCTTGGTTAGGCTGATTCCTAACTATTGGGCTGGGGATTTAGCTCAGTGGCACAGCGCCTGCCTGGCAAGCGCGAGGTCCTGAGTTCGAGTCCCGGTACAGGAAAAAAAACCTAACTATTTAATTTTTCTTGATGACATAAATGGTATTTTCCTAATTTCTTTCTTACTGAGTTCATTATTGGCATACAAGAATGCTGCCGCCTCCGTCAGGAGTCCTTTCAGCTGTGCAGCAGGGGTGACACTCAAGCGCTGCAGACGTGGGTGGCGGCCCGTCTTTGCTGCCCCCTATGCTGGTGACACAGGCTTGGGGACAGCAGCTTCTCCAGGATTGGGAGCGACGCCACCTGGGCTTGGAGCTTCTATGGAAGCCATGGGATCCAGCTCAGTGTGCCTGGCCCAGGCGCCGGCGTGTGGGGGCCGGAGTCTTTGCTGGCGGGGCCCTCCCCCCCAGCCTTCCCCGCAGCTGTGTAAACACTTGTGTCAGGTGTGTTTTCGCTGAAAGCGCAGTGCTTCTGTTTCCAGGACGCGAATCCTCCAGGAGATGGGTCCCGGAAGCTCAGCCGACTCACAGAAGCCCCGCTGGCGCTGTGACTTCCTCGGCAGGGCCCACATTTCTCCCAGAAACGAAACCAAAACCGTCCTCAGGCCTCAGCTGCGCCAGTGCGAAGTGAGAGGCAGGCTGTGCGTGGGTGGGTGAGGATTTGTGTGCGTGCGGGAGAGAGGGGACACGGTCGGTCGCTGGATCAGAGCTCGCCAGAGGACAACAGGCGCCTGGAAAATCCTGGCAGACACACAGGACTGGTTTGTCCGGTTGGGGAGGACTCAGAACAGTAGGTGAAATGAAACGGGGGTGCTGGCCAGGCCAGGGCTGGGCGTAAGAGCGAGCACTGGGCTCACAGGGTCTCTTGGCCTCTTGCCGCGTAGGGGACAGCAGGGGACTCTGGAAGAAAGGAGTGCAGTGTAGGTGTGGCCCTTTGAGATGCACAGGGCTCCTCCCCCGGCCCACTGGCCCCTGCGGCCTCCAAGCTGTGGGTGGAGCACGACCGGTCCCTTTTCAGCATGGCTTTGGGCTTTCCGGTTGTAAGGTTCGTCTGCAGACGCAGCCAGGAAGCTCTCGAAGCATTTTATGTTGTATTTATTTTCACAGTACTGGGCCTTCCCACTGAGCCACACCCCCACCCCTGTTTTATTTTTTATTTTGAGACAGGGTCTCATCAAGTCATTGGGTTGCTCAGGCAGGGCTTTCACTCGGCCTCCCACAGGCACGAGCCACCATCTCTGCTCCTGAAGGCACGCAAAGTGCGACGCCTTAGTTCCTCTGCAGCGAGCAGGGTTTTCTTCACGCCCGTTTCTTTTTAGTAATTGTTAACTGAACTGATACAGGCTGCACGCGGAGGGGACAGCCAGTAATTCTGCAGTGTGCAAACGCCAGGGTTCTCTGCTGGCGGTCGGGTTGGTTGTACCGTGGGTGCGGTGAGGCAGAGTTGCCGTCCTTCATCTGAGGTTTCGCCTGTGTGGTTTCCGCTGCCACAGGCAGCTGTGACCTGAAAATATGACGTGGAAAATTCCAGAAACAAACAGTCCTCAAGCTTTTAACGGCATGCTTCTCCCAGCAGCCCGAGGGACCCCGCGCTCGCGTGTCTCGGCTCGCAGGCCGGCCCTCTCCGGAGCTTCCACACTGCACACCCCACGCCCCACTGCTGGTCACCGGGAGCTTACTCTGTCCCCGCCGGCACACAGCACTAGGTCCGCAACTTGAGGAGCAGAGGCTTATTTTGGCTCAGGATTTTAGCTTATTGTCAGCTGGCCGCAAGGCAGGAAGCGCTTGGTGGGAGCGGGGCGGTGGGGAGGAGCTGCTCACCTCCTGGGCACCGGGAAGCAGAGAAGGGAGGAGCCGGCAGGGAGAGAGACACTTCAGCCCCGCCCCAGTGGCGCCCTCCTCCCACTATGCTCTGCCCCAGAGCCCTGCCTACTGGCCTCGCTCTAGCCCCGCCTCCTAGCTCAAGCTCCGCCTCCTAAGGCCCAGCCCCCAGCCCCGTCTCCTCCCAAGATCCCACCTCCTGCCCTATCTCTCTCACCAGGCCCCGCCTCCTCTCATGGCCCTGCCTTCCTGCCAGGCCCCGCCTCCTAGCCTAGGCCCCGCCTCTCAGCCCCGCCTCTCAAGGCCCTTCCCCAAAATCCGTCCTGTAGTCCAGCCCCACCTCCTCCCAAGATCCCACCTCCTCGCTCAAGCCACCACCTCTCACCAGGCTCCGCCCCCTAGCCCAAGTCCCGCCTCCCAAGGCCCTACCTAGCCCCAAACGCTTTATCTAGTCCAGCCCCGCCTCTGAAGATCCCACCTCCTTGCCCAGGCCCCGCCCCCACCCAGGCCCTGCCCCTCATCAAGGCCCCTCCCCCTCTCCCAGGCCCCGCCCCTAGCCCAGGCCCCGCCCACCCAAGATCCTGCCTCCTCGCCCAGGCCCCGCCCCCTCCCCAGGCCCCGCCTCTGCCCAAGCCCCCTGTAGACTCTGAACCCGAGTTCGGCCCTCCTCGTCCCCTGCTCTCGCCAAGGCCGGGCCGTGAGGGCTCTGCGGCCGTGGAGTTCTCCCGACCCTCTTCCCCCTGGGTTGCGGGTGCAGACAGGCTTGGGGCTGTGTTCTCGCTGTGTTCAGCTGCTGTGTGGTCTTGTGCTTGCTCGGACTTCAGCCTGTCTCCCCAGCGTCCTGCAGGAAGAGCTCCGTGTGAGGGCTGCGTGCCCCGGGGTGCACCCCCCGCAGACAGGGGCCCTGCGCAGGGCCTCGGGGTCTGCAGAGCCTCTACAGACCTTAGCAGGTATTGCAGTATTCCGTTCTTATCCAGTCAGTCCTTATGGTTTTTCTTTTGCTTTTTTTTTTGGTACGGAGTATCGAACTCGCGACCTTGTGTTTGCCAGGCAGGGGCTGTGCCGCTGAGCGATCTCCCCCGCCCCTTTCCTATGTTTAATGGCCTCTTATTTTATTTTTATTTCTTGCGTATTTCCTTTTTTTTTTTTTTTTTTTTTTGCTTTGTTTCTCTGAGAAGAGAAACGACCGAAATCCGCAGTGAGCCTCCTGCCTCAGCCTCCTGAGTTCTGGGGTTGCAGTCCCAGAACTGCCTCCACACCCGGCTGTATGCAAATTTAATAGGGACAGGACTGTGACACTTGTGTGGAGTAGAAAAGGCAAACTGCCTGTTCAGGAAGGGGCCCTCGGGTTAATGCTCTGTGGCCCCGGGGATGGAGTGTAGGGTGTTGAGGAACATCCACCTTTCAGAGAAACGTGAAGTAGTCACGTACCAGTTTTTCTGCTTTAGCTGAACGATCGTTTTGGCAAGTGTCATCTCCAGTTCCAGGCAGTGCTGTTGAAGTGGGCGTGGTGAGCGGCCTCGCCAGCACTGGGCGCAGCTGTCCGTCTGCGTGTGCTGAGAGTGACCGCGGGCAAGGTGGAGCCGGGCTGTGTTCAGGTGTTTTTTCCGATTGTGTGGGAATCTGAATTTTGTCTCTCGAACAGAGAAAATGCTGGGCCAGAGCACAAGAGCTGGTTCAGTGTGCATTGTAGCTATGAAACAGTGGCCATAATTTGTAATTTAAATGTCACAGAAAAAGATGTAGAGTCCCCTGGCCCGTGCACCCACCCTGGGCAGAGGAGGTTGCCCGCCCCACCCCGCCCTCCCGATACCGATACCGCAGGACCTCCACCGAGCTGTGGCCACGCAGCAGTGTGTTGTAGCAGTCTGAGGAGGCTGGCCGTGGTGACTGATACCCCAGCTCCTCAGGAGGCTGAGGCAGGAGGAGCACAAGTTTGAACCCAGCCTGGACAGCTTAGAAGACCTTCAAAACGAAAAGGGCTGAGGGTGCAGCTCAGTGCCCGGGATGCATCCTCAGCGCCGCGAAGCAGGCAGACAAGACAACTTGATGAAGCTGTGAAGGGGCTGGGGCCGGGCCGGCTGGCGTGGGTGGGGTTGAAGTGCGCGGCACCTGTGCACGCACGCACGGAGGCGGCTGCGGGCGGCCCCCAGGCCGTGACGCAGGTCTCTCGGTCTGGTCTTGCAGCCTCTGACTCACTGGGTTTTCCTCTTCCTCCCCCGTCACAACCGTGGCGTCATCTCTGTGATTTCCCCGCCCTCTGTGTCCCGAGTACTCTGGGGCTTTTGGGGCTGAGCTGTCCCCACTCTCACTTCTCCCTCGGTGCCTCTGGTTCCGATCAGTCCGGTGGGCTTGGTCGCTGAGGCAGCCTCTCCGGTCTCCAGGTTCCGGCCAATGAAGGAGGGAGAGTGAGTGCCGGGGAGTTAACGCCCCTCAGCGAGGCGCCCTCGCCAGGACCGAGTACCATGAAGCGGGGCTGCGCAGATGGAGCTGGTGCTCGCCCGGGCCACTGCTGAGGGCCGGCAGCCCCTGCCCGCCACCCTCGCCATGGCGCTGCCCGCCGAGCTCATCCACCGGGTGGAGGAGGCGCTGGACGAGGAGGAGAAGGAGATGCTGGCCTTCCTGTGCCGCGACCTCGCGGTGGACCTGCCGCCCAGCAACACCTGCGATCTGCTGGCGGCGCTGAGTGAGAAAGGCCGGCTGTCCCGTCTGGGCCTGGCCGAGCTGCTCTACAGGGTGCAGCGCTTCGACCTGCTCAAGCGGGTGCTGAGGATGGACCGGGCGGCCCTGGAGACCCACCTGCACAGGCACCCTGGCCTCGTGTCCAGCTACAGGTGACACCAGCATCCCCTTGAGACAGGCGGGGGCGGGGGCCTCGGAGAGAGCAGCCTCATTGCTTCCTCTTCTCCGGTCTCAGCTTCTGGCGGATATCCAGGCTGGCCTTGAGCTCACCACTCACCCAGAGTGGCCTCAAACTCTAGATCCCCCTGCCTCAGCCTCCCAATTGCTAGGGTTATTGGCGCCTAGGAAAGTGGCAGGGTTTGAATTCTTAGGCCACTCTTGCTTGGAGGAACTGGGTAGAAATTGTTAATGAAAGGGGGTGGGGCAGATGGTGTATGTTTGTCTCAAGGACAGACTACAGGAAAGGAAGAAAGGCAGGAACAGCCGAGAACGGAACTTGCCAGCCCCCAGCGGGACTGCCGAGGTCTGTGGGCTCACTCTCGGGGTGCTGTCCGTTCCCAGCACTGAGGAAGGAAGTCTGACAGCATCTTCCTGACTCTGTGGCGCTCTGCAACCCCGAGTCCCCGCTGGCCCACGCTGCTGAGCCAGCGCAGCGCGGTGGGCGCCTCGGTTGCCCACCCTGGGTTACATGGCTCTGAAATGTGCCCCCCATGTGGCGTCCTACAGAGACTGGGGTGGGGGCGGGAGGAACCCTGCCCTGTTGTTGCTGTTTCTTCTCTCCGCCTCCTGTGGCCCCCATGGGAGGCGTAGGACAGGCTGCTGGGGGCCCCTGGAGGTAGTTCTCTCTGTGGCAGCCCCAGGACGGAGGGATTGTAGTCCTTGTTACCCAGGCCCATCTGGCGGAGTCACCTTTGCTATCTGGAGGCCAGGTCGGGAGCTCTCTGGGCGGTGTCCTCTGTGGCTCCCTGCCATCCGCTGGGCAGGGGTTTGTGAAGTGCTAGGGCAGCCTGCGTGATTCCTGTCCTGAGACTCAGGGTATCTGCTGGACAGCGGCCTTCCCAGCATGGTGACAGCGCTGACCCAGGCCTGCCCCTGTGGGCGTGGCCGAGGTGGCCAAGTCAGGAGGGCCGTCCGGGCCTGGCCGTGCTGGGTCGGAGTCCCTGGGGAGGTTCCTGGTGTTTCTTTGCTTTACAGTCGCATGACCCAAAGTATGTCCCCCAGGACAAGGCCCTGGAGAATTCCAGTTCTGTCTTTTGACTTAGTGCCCTGGGTCCTTTGTTTATTTGCTGTAACTCCGGGGGAAGAGAGGGCTTCTGTCCTCCGAGTTATTTTCAGGGCCCTGGTTGGAAGGTAAGGTGAGGACTCTTTCCAGGGCTCAGACTCCCAGTGTGGAGCAACGCAGGCTCGGGGTCTGAGCCTCCTATTTTTCATCATCATCATCATCATCATCATTATTAGTCTTTTTGAGACAGGGTCTCGCCCTGCAGTTCAGGCTGGCCTTGAGCTCACTTTGTAGCCCAGGCTGGTTTTGAACTAGCAACGATCCTCCTGCCTCAGCCTCCTGAGTGCTGGGATTACAGGCATGCACCACCACGCCTGGCTCTGAGCTTGCTAAAGGGGTCTGTCCGCCCCCAGGGTGCTGATGATGGAGATTGGCGAGGAGCTGCACAAGTCTGACCTGTCTGCGCTGACTTTCCTCATGAGGGACCACACGGGCCGCGGCCAGACGGCCAAGCACAAGGTGAGTTTTCTCTCCTTGGCTCGGTTCCCAGGGCTGTCGGAAGTGGGTGCTGCTCCCGGGGGTGCAGAGGGGAAGCAGCGCGGGTCGGACATCTGCCGTGGGTTTTCTTGGCATCTGCGGCAAGAGGAGTGGGAAGAGGTGCTGCCATCTCCCTGTGTGGCCTCCGTGTTCGTCTCATTCTCGGACCTTGGCCCCCTTCTGAAGCTCTCTCAAGCCTGGCTTGTGCGCCGGTTTCTTCCACTGGCCCGGCAGACCCCTCGCAGGGTCCGGTGGGCCCCGCTTGTGCTGAGCAGGGACGGACAGGGTGCAGCGTTGTGTGCCTCCTCAGTGAGCACCAGGCCGGCTTGGTCACCAGGCTGGCGTGAGGCCGGGTGGGGGTGCACAGTGCTGATGGAGCCCTGCACAGGGAAATGGCTCAAGACAGCTTTGGGGCTGGGATGCGGAGAGGGCGGGGGTCTCGGGGGTTGCGGGGGCTGATGGTGCACTTGACCCCACAAAGCACTGCTGGAAGGGCCAAGAGCATCCGTACTTCCCGGACACCAGGGTTGGTGCCGCAGGCCAGCCTGCCTCTGAGGAGCCTGGCTCGGGAATCTCAGCTCCTCCGTAGAATTCCATTCTCTTTTTTTTTTGTTTTGTTTTTCTTCCGGTACCGGGAACCGAACTCACGACCTTGCACTTGCCAGGCAGGCGCTTTTGCCGCTGAGCTAAATCCCCAGCCCCTAGAATTCCATTCTCAAGTCTGCAGATGAAGGCAGCTGCTCCCATGTCAAATGTAAAGGAGAAAGAAAATGACTCACTTGTTGGTTTCTGCTAATCAGCTTCTCTTTTTGGTACCGGGAGTTGAACTCAGGAACTTGTGCTTACCAGGCAGGCACTTGTGCCACTGAGCTATATCCCCACATATCACTTGTGCCACTGAACTATAAATTTAAAAAACATTTAAATAATGTTTTATTTTAAAAAAAAATAAAGATAGCACTTCAGTGACCCAAATGAAACACAGAGGGACTACAGCCTAAAGACGTGGCTGTTTCCGGAACAGCTCTTTCCCTGTCCCTGTGACCCAGTGTAAACGTAGAGCAGATCTAAACCTGAAATCCTGCCTCTCCAGAATCCTGAGTCCCAGTAAGTTGCAATGTCCGGCATGGATTAAAATAGTTTGAGAGGTTTACAGATGTAGAACTAGGGTTTTTCTCTGAAATCCTTCCCGCTAGCGACCTTTGCTTCCCCTTTTTGGGGAAACCCTTAGTTTTGAGTTCAACACCCACTTGAAAGAGCTCATTCGTGGGACACCTTGACAATACAAAACAGTTCCTGTGTCTCTCCCCGGCTGGCTGGTGACCAGGGGACTTGAGTGGAGTCCAGGAGGGCAGTCTGCTCAGGGGAGAGCACCGGGGTCAGGGTCTCTGCGGGTCCTGCCGGGGCTCCTCTGGTCACATTCTCTTGCTGTTGTAAATCGCAAGGCCTGGAGTTTGTGTTGGGGGGTCATTAGCTGCACTGACATTTGCTTCTTGTTGGTGGCTCTCTTAGAGTTTCTTGGAACTTGTGATTGAACTGGAGAAATTGGATCTGGTTGCTCCAGATCAGTTGGACTTATTAGAGAAATGCCTAAAGAACATCCACAGACTGGACCTGAAGAAAAAAATCGAGAAGTACAAACAGTCTGGTAAGAGCAGCTCTTGCCTCTCAGTAGCGCAGAGCAAGTGCTCTGCACAGCGGCATGGCTGGTGAACATAGACTGATAGGGAGCGGGGCGGGACGCAGCCCGATGTCCAGAGCCCACCAGCCTGTGGCTGCGGGTCTCGTCCCTTTACATCTTCATGCCCCAGGTCTGCGACTCTGTTGCCCAAAATTGCAGTCCTGAATGTTAGCCTTTTGAAAAGAGTGAATATTCACAGGCTGGAGAGGCTGTGGACACTTAGGGCTTTTTCGTGGTGAATGCTATAAGTGTTTGGCCTGGCGACTGGCATGCAGCTCTGGGCGGGTCAGCAGGGCCCCATAGCTGCCCTGAGGTCTCCAGTTTCACTGACCCGACTCCCACAAAAGGGCACCGGTGACCCTCTCAGCCTCCTCCTCACAACACCAGCCGTTGTCTTCCGGCCTCCGCCTCAGCGTGGACTGTCAGCTCCCTGTCACCATGTGGTCACAGGCAGAGGGCGTGGCCGAGGCCAGCTGGTGTAGAGGCTGCCTTGTGCCCGCACACTGACGTGCCTGCTGGACACCCAAGGTGGGAATGGCACTTCTAGTCCATTCTTGCTGTGTGGTGGAGGAGTCAGCCGCTGCTTTGAATTCAGTTAGGGGTTGGGAAGTTTAGGGTATTTTAAAAGCCTGGTTGAACTTGGAGTGCCCACTGTTGAAGATTCATGTGGTAATAATTTATAAATCTTCGCTCAGTACCTGTCTTTTGCTTTATAGCTCAAGGAGAACGAACAAGTTACATGAACTCTCTCCAAGCCTCTTTCCCGAACTTGAGCCTCACAGATCTGTCACATAATTTAAGGGTGAGTGTGAAGCAAACACCTGGAATCCCAGCGTGAAGCTGTTTCACAGCTGTGATAAAAATAGACAGTCTCACAGAATGTATTTTAACTGAGAAAATTATGTCTGAAGTATATTTATGAAAATGTGTAAATTTCCTGTTATTATGAAATTAATAAATGCTTGTTGAGCTTCTCGGTGGCTAGTTTTTGTTGCTGAGTGATGAAACAAGTTTTTTTCATTTATGAACAGAAATATCACATCGTCACTTGTGGTTGTGATAGTAGTGAGTAGTTCAAGGTGTCATCAGAATTGTCCTGTGGTTAATATTTATCTTGGGAAAAGAGAGTGTGAGTGTGATAGGACCCTCTGTATAAAGTTAGCAGCAACAGCAGCAGCAACCTTATCCCTTATGTACATGATCGCTCAGCACCGTGAACACGAAGTCCTTCATAAACATCCAGTTTCTGCATTTCTGTAATTACTTAGCTTCACCTATGCCACGTGTGGGCCCGATTCTTGACAATCACGATCTGTGGATAACCACTTCTGAGGGCAGCGTGGAGGAGCCAGCTGACCCTTTCTCCCCTCATGCGGTGGGCCTTATATAAGGGACACACGCCGTTGCTATAGCAACTGCTATTGCTATATATCCTCTGTATAAAGTTACTTGAAATTTGTAGTGAGGACTTAGAGAACAGCTTCACAGTTAAATCATAAACACTTCCATGAAAGCAGGTGATGAAACGCTAACTTCTCTTCTAAATGATTTCTTGGAGAATCTGAGGTGTGAAGGACACCTCTGGGCTGCAGGGCTTCAGAGCTGGCGGGGGCTCAGGGTCGCACTGTCTCACCCACTTGCTGAGCAAAACGAGGTGCTGAGGCCTAAGGGGTGGCCAGTGCTCTCCACCCACCTGGCCAGCTGGGCCCAGGCCCTGCCCCTCACCCACTCCACAGCGGACCTCAGGAGCCGCCATTGCCAGGAGATGTGGCCCTCCCAGATCGTGAGACAAAGAGATTTCAGGATTCAAATCCAGATTTCCCAAGCTCTCTCTGCTATTTATCTAATGTAAACTTACAGCCATACCTCGTTAAAACCTGCCACACGAAGGTGAGAATATTCACTGTCCGCAGCCTGTTGGGAGCCCATGTGCCTTGTGAACCCATTCTCCTTAAACCTGCTCGCTCTGTGTAATACATAACCTGACCATTTATTTAGTAAGCAGGCACAGAGATGTGTGAACTCGGTAACTTTCTCACAAGCTTTAGGACCTGAATACCTACTCACTAACTCATATGAGACTGCAGGAATGCCTCAAAAATTGCTGTGGGCGTGGTGTCACACACGTCTACAGCCTCATAACCTGGGAGGCTGGGGCAGGAGGATCACAAATTCAACCCTAGCCTGGGCAGTTTTGCAACTTAGTGAGAGCTTGTCTCAAAATAAAAAAATATAAAAGGGCCAAGAACGTAGCTTAATGTGAAGGCCCTGTGTTCAGTACCTAGTATGGAAAAAAAATTGCAGTGGCATCAAATGCCACAGGATACAAAGATATTCTGGAAGAAGTTGCATGACTGCAATATAAGGCTTCTGAAGTGTACCTTTGATTGGCTTTTTGTTCAGTTTAACAGCATCTGCAAGTGACTGGAGTCCATGATTGGAATTCCGGGAGAAAAGTGGTTGGGTGCTGGGAGAACAGTTTTTATTTAACATGATCAGCCTCTGGCTGAGTCAGTTACCGCTGCAAAGAGCACTTGCGTGTCTCTGTAACAGACTCCCACACGCAGCTGCCCTCCACGGGGCGTGTGCTGCACTCTCGGCTTGGGCGGCTGCAGAGGATTGCTGTGCTTTGAAAGCCGGGCGTGTCGTGGGCAGCAGTCTGTGGCGTGTGTCCCTTATATAAGGCCCACCGTGTGAGGGGAGAAAGGCTCAGCTGGCTGCTCCACGCTGCCCTCAGAAGTAGTTATCCACAGATCGTGACTGTCAAGAATCGGGCCCGCATGTGGCACAGGTGAAGCTAAGTAATTACAGAAATGCAGAAATTGGATGTTTACGAAGGACTTCGTGTTCACGGTGCTGAGCGATGGTGTACATAAGGGATAAGGTTGCTGCTGCTGTTGTCCTCATCTGAGGTTAAACAGTGAGCTCAAGGTGCCCAGCGAGGACATGGCCGCCTCGCGATTCAGAGCCAGGTGGTCTGGCCTGGAGCACACGGTCTCAGCCACGCTGCCCTGTGCCCTTGTCCGGGGAGCAGATTCAGTGTTGGCCTCCTGATCCAAGGGCTTACTCCAGCCTGGAGCAGCGACTGCGGCTTCCTGCATCATGCCGCCTGGCTTTGTCGAGTGGTTTTGAGGTGTCCTAATGTGACAGTTTAGCACTTGCACTTTTTCTTCGTATTTTCATTCTGGAAATAGTTATCTTCCTCTCTGGCTGTATGATATGGGCTTTACAGAGTTAGCAGTTGTGCTGTCCTCAGATGACTGAGCTGGAAAGTGATGCTCTTTTTTCTTTCCTGAGTGAGAATGCCACTGACCAAAACAAAAAAGTGTCCCGGGGGTGGCGGTGGCGCCCGCCTGCAATCCCAGCACTCAGGAGGCTGAGGCAGGAGGATTGTCGTGAGTTCGAGACCAGCCTGGGCTACAAAGTGAGCTCAAGGCCAGCCTGGACTGCGTAGTGAGACCCTGTCTCAAAAAGACAAAAAAGAGAATGTCACTGAGATGTTTAAAGAGCTGTGCTGTCAGGTCTCTTTGAGGAAACTAACCAAGTGCAACCTTATTCTTTGTATTTGAAGCTGCAGAATGGAAGAAACAAAGCAGCAGGACTTGAGACACATCATCAAAGTAAGAACAATGTTTCTGACTGTCCATTCTTCATAAATGTGTGAGGATTCAACTACAGAATGCTGTAGTTTCACAGCTCCCTATTTCCTTTGTCTACATATAGCTCTGAAGTATTTTCATGGCATTTCCAGCTCCCTGCTGCATTAGCTTATTTAAATTTAGAGCAGGCATGGTGGCTTATGCCTGTAATCCCAGCACTTGGGAGGCTGAGGCAGGAGGATCACTGCGAGTTTGAGGCCAGCCTGGGCGATAAAGTGAGCATAGGAGACTCTGTCTCAAAAAAAAAAAAAGCTTATTTAAATTGAGACGCCATCTCCCAACAGTCTCCTCACTCTATTCTTAGGCCGCGTGACACTGACAGGGAGCGGTGCCCAGGCCCTGTTTAACAAGGGCTGTTTAATCCAGCCACGATCACAAACCGTGTATCTAGCAGCAGAAGGAAGAAAAGTTAACAGTCCTTGCTTGATAGCTCATTTAATAAAAGTGGATGCCCTACAGAAGACGTCCTCGCCTCCCTAAAAGAAAGAAAACAATACAAAAACCCCTCGTCATCTTGGCCGTACGGCCTCTTGGAGTTGTCATTGTGGGCCCCACGGCGTCATCGTTCAGAGCCCCCTTCTTTGCTTGTCCTGAGGCCTCAGTGCAGGACAGCGGGGATCCCGGTGGGGTCTGCCTGTGCAGCGTGGGTCTCGGCGTCCTGAGTCACACCACGAGTGCAGCTGCCGGCTGGGACCCCGGGCCTTGGCCTGTGCGCCAGTGAGGCACCTGCGAATGGCAGCGTCTGTTGGAGCGGCCCTGTGTGGCTCCTGCCGCCGTTCCTGCCTCATACTCTGCCCTCCAGCAAGCGCTGTTGACAGGCAAAGTAGTTCCTGAAGTGACAGCGCATTTCTCAAAGTGCAGGTAAGGCGCTGAGAATTAGCCAGCTGAAGGCTGCAGGAGAGGCAGCTGGTTGGTATGCCTAGGGATGAAAAAAAACACTGCTCTTTGCTTGGAGCTCCAGGTCCCAGGGGCGGGGGGAGGGGGGGACATCACCACACGGAGGGAGTGAAGCCCCAGCCCTGCTGTCATGCTCAGCCTGGGCCGAATTCCTTTTTAACAGATGAAAAAGTTCTGGAAAATTGGCTTTTATCTAATAGAAGTTTAAAATAATCAAGCTGAGTATTCACAGTAATTTGGACTTCCAAGTATATTCCACCTGAAGATCAAGATGTGGTCCTGACTGCTTGATAAGGTCTGCTGGGTGCTGTGCACTCAGAGAGACGCATTGTGTGGGTTATTTTGTGGATTGTTTGTTCCGTTAATGTGTGATTCTTAAAATACAAAGAGATAAAGCACATTATTTCTTAATGTCGTACATCAGGGAATCCACTGCTGATGTCTCCCCCACAGACTCCTAGTCAGTACACACATTTGTGCCGTGCTACCTGCGGAGGCCCGGGACACCAAAACCCCGCAGGTGCACAAGGCCCGGGCATGAACCCTGTCGTGCTGTGCAGGCCCTCGCTAGGCTGCGCCCAGCCCCAGGGCGGGGTGGGTGCTGGGGCTGTTGTGGGCGCTATTGAGTGCTTGCTGGAGGGCAGAGTATGAGGCGGGGACGTCCGCGGGGCTGTGCAGTTCCTTCCCTGTGTGTTCTCCATCCGCCTTGGTTCAGCCATGCACGGATGCAGAGCTCGGGACTGTCAGATAAGCACGTCATATCCGTGTGTGGCATCATATGCTGCAGGCATTGAGTAACCCACCTTTTATCTTAATGTGCCCTGCATATCTTTTCATACCAAAGACATAAAGATCTCATGCCCTTCTTAATACTGCATAGTATTCGCTGTACTACAGCTGACTTAGTTCGTTTCATGCTTGTGGATGTTTAGGTTCTTTCTAGTCTGGGGCCTTATAAACAGTCACTCAGTAGGTCTCTTTTTAGCAGGGGTGCTTGAGACAAAGGCTCCCTGTGTAGCTCAGGGTGGCCGAGTTCTGGCAACAATCGTCCTGCCTCAGCCCCTGGAGCTGAGATTAAGGGCATGCACCCCCATGGCTGGCTGCAGTAGCCATCTAGACGTGCATTTTCCCACTCCTGCCCTTTTCGGCTCCTTAAGCCCTCCGGGGCAGAATGCCAGCTTGGAGGAGAGCACCGCTGCACTTGGAGAAGACTGTTGCAATCGGCTCAGTATTAGCTCTGCAAGTGCTCATTTTCCCCGAGCCTGAGCGGTACGGAAATTTTCTTTGCCTATTTTTAGACATTATTTTTCATTTTGCACCAGTCTCATAAGACAGCAGAAAGCCATCAGTTTAGTGATTACTAAGCCCAAGATGAAGAGAGTAACTGAGATGGCCGCGCAGGGCGCAGGTGAGAGCCCCCCTGCGTCCCTCTCACCACGGTTCCTGCGGCCCTGCCAGCGAGGGGAGCCATTTTTTTCCGCACGGTGTCCCTTCTTGTCGCTGACCATGTTTGTACCATCTCCCCGTGTCCCTGGGTACGGAAGCCCTGACCATCTGCTCTGAGAGCCTCGGACCGCTTGAGCTCTGCTGTCTGAGACTTTGGGTGTAGGAAGTCATCCATGTTGTTGAGCAGTGCAATTACTGAATTCACCTGTTGGGTTAAAAACTTGCTGGGACCTCAGTCCCCCTGGAGGAGGGTGAGGGAGAGGCCTCCTTCCCTTGCTATTCAAGCAGTTTCTCTACATAGCCCTGCATAGTGTAGGCCCCTGGGGTTGATTGGTGGATTGATTGATTATTGCAGAGACAGGGTCTTACTGAATAGTCCAGGCTGGCCTCGAATGCTCAGTGATCCCCTTGCCTCAGCCTCTTGAGTGCTGGGGTTACAGGCATGTGCCACCGTACCAGGCCACCATGCCCAGCCACCATGCCCGGCCCTGGGTTGTGTCTGTGCTGTGTGTATCAGGAGGGAGAGGACCACTGAAGGGAGGCGGCCGGAGACAGCTGTGGCGTGACGGGCAGCCGGCGGCCCGGCTCAGGCTCGCTCCTGCTCTGTAACAGTGCTTCCTTCTCTCCCCAGAGCCCACGAAGATGTCTGTTCAGGAGTCTGGAGCCTTCTTGCCTCAGGTGCGGGATAAATGAGCTGCTTTGGTATTGCATTGTTCCCGGTGTCTGCAGGACAGTGGGTTCTGATACAAACTGTACTGGCAACAGTACAAGAAGCCCCGAGAGCTCGCTTGGCAGGGGCCGTAAGCGTAAGGGAGAGAATGCGGGTACAGCGGGTGTCGGGGTGTCGGGGCGGGCGCGGGCGGGTCCCGCAGCGTCCCTGCCCTCACTGAGGGCCTGTGGAAAGCGAGCAGACGTGCAGGCTTGTTCTTCAGTGGCAGTTGTAAAAAGCAGCCGCAGGAGGTCCCCGTTTGTGCTGTTTGGAAAGATGCTGCTGTTTCTACCTCAGGTCACGGTGGAAACGCAGTTTCCCCTGGCTGTCTTTTCTACAGCTGAGACAGTTTCCTTCAAACTCCAGTAGACACGGCAATCCTGTGGCCAGTTTGTCTTAAGCAGCAACTGCTTAGTTTGCCCTAACAGAAACCACACTGATGGGAGAGGTCGCTGAGCAGACGCGGGGCTGTGCGCCGCACTTGGGGGCCGGAGTCACGGCTTGCCTGCCGGCGGGGATGCCTCAGGGGCATGGGGACAGGCGGTGGCAGGGGGCCTGTGGAGTGGGGCTCTCTGGGGTCTGTAGCAGTCCTTGTCTTTCTTTCCAGTACCCGCCGCCTGTGGAGAGATACCGGATGCGGAGCAGGCCTCTGGGCATCTGCCTGATCATCGATTGCATCGGCAACGCCTCAGGTAGGCGTGCACGCTGTGGTGACCGACCCCCTGTCCCGCAGCACGGTCCGAGCCCAGTCAGGGCGTCTGTGCGGCTCTGTTGGGAGGTGCCGGAGAGAGCAGTGCACAGCGAGCTGAGCAGGCGGTGTCGTTGGTCCCAGCTTTCCACGCGGTGGCAGGAGGTGTCCTGGGTCCCTGGATGGCATCCTGGGGGCTTTGTGGCTCCCGGGGGCATTGGGCGGCCCTTTGCTTCACTCCGCAGCCTCTGACAGCCGTGCTTGGGACAGTGAAACCTGACACACGGGTTCTGGGGGCTTGGAGTTGCTCAGGCCACGTGCCCCCTGGTCTGTGTCCTCGGCTCTGTGGTTGCTCTGCGTGGATCTTTCACTCAGCTGCGGCTGCGCGTCTGACTGCCTGACCTCGGTGAGGCGTCAGCGGGCACTGAGGAGTCCAGGCGTGAGCGTTTATTCTGCTTAATCACTGACCTCTCTGAGGGTTGATCATTCTGGTTCAGAGTTCTCAGCTCCTCACCATTCTGTCAAGAGTTAGGGGCCGGGGATGTAGCTCAGCAGTACAAGTGCCTGCCTGGCAAGCGCAAGGTCCTGAGTTTGATTCCCGGTACCAAAAAAACAAAAACAAAAAGAGTTAGAACAATCTTTTAGGCACACTTAAAATTTTACCGCGGGAGTTTTTTGTTTGTTTGTTTTGATTTTCCTGGTGATACCAGGGGTGGAACCCAGGGGCACCATACCACTGAGCTACGTATGTCCTGTGAGCCCCGTATTCTGGGAGGCTGAGAGAGGAGGAGTGCAATGAAAGCCCAGCCTGGGCAAGTTAGTGATGCCCTGTCAAAAGAAAGCAAAAGAGAAGGAAGGGAAGGGGAAGAAAAGGGGAAAGGAAAGGAACACAAGCGGGCTGAAAGGCGGGATATAGCTCAGTGTGAAGGTCCTGGGTTCAAGTCCATGGACTGCAAAAGTGAGTCCCCTGCTTTCTCGGGGACCTTTTTGGTTGGAGGTGAGACGTGAGTCTTCTCGGCTGTGGGTAGACGTCCTTTCCTCGGTAGCTGTTGCCTCCTTGTAAGGACAAGGAGCTGTCTTCTCGCCGGGTTGCTTCCTGTTTGGAGGAGGCTGTGGCATGGCCTCTTTCTTCAGCATAACTCATCTGCTTTTCCTGCACTCGGTGCCCCGTTGTGTTCAGAGAACCTGGAGATAAATCCACGAACGAGAGGCTCTGTTGTCTGTGGCCGACCTCAGTGTCCACCTCGCCTCTGTTGAGCCTCGCGGGCCGCCGCTGGGACGTGTGTCTCTCTGTGTCTGGGAAGGAGCATGGTCAGAGGTGGGGGCCGGGCCGAGCTGCACAGGTTGGAGGTGCGGCCGCCCGGCCTGGCCGTCCAGGCCCAGTCCCCCTGTGGGGTGCTCAGCCGCAGGGCACCCTGCTGGGGTGCAGCGGGGAGCCTGCCGCGGAGTTCTGCATTGGCCGCGCACACCCTTCTTGTGTCCTGATCCCATCTGAGTTGTCACCCGCTATGCAAGCGCTCATGTGGCTTTGTGCGGGGCGCCTGGGATCTGATCGGAGGCTGGCCGGGGACCAGGGAGCTGCGTCTCAGGCCTCCTGTGGCTCTTCACGGCACCCTGCCCGGGGTCTCGTCCTTGTGCTCCTCCTGGCCCTGCTTAGCTCCTGTGTCCCTGCAGTGCCCACCGCGCCCCTCACTGCTCTGAGCGCCTGTGTCCCCGTGAGTCTACCTGTGCACGTGACGTTTCAGTTGTACACACCGCGTCCCCCGGGGAGGACGGGGACTTCACCTGCGTGCCATGACCTGCGTCCCGTCCCAGAGCTCCGTGAGGTGGTGAAGGGACCTGGTGACGCGCGTGCAAGGGCACAGTGAGTGGGAGGAACACCGTGCCCAGTGGTTCCCTCCTGTCGTCCCGCTCTGCAGCTGGCTCTGGGCCTCTGTCCCGAGCAGGGTGACCGCTCCAGCCGTGGCACCTCACCCCTACCCGCTGACCCTGGGTCCTTCTCTGGGGCGCGCTGTGTTGGGTTCTGCCGTTGCCCCGCTAATCAGGACTGGGCCCCGTCAGTGCTTGCACAGACTGGCAGAGCCTTCCCTTGTCTCTTGTCTAGACACCCGCCAATGGAGCTGCTCACAGAGCGTCAGGCAGCAGCGCACCCTCGTGAGGTCACAGGGAACTCGAACTCAGTGAGGCGGGGACGTGCCCGGTGTTAGCTTTGAGGGCTTTTCCCCAGCTGTCCCGAGCCTGCAGGCCGAGAGTGGCCTTCCGGGCAGCCCTGCACTCGCTGGGTGTTTCGAAAACTGTCATTTCAAGAGGTTTTTTTCTGAGGAAAGGTAGAATTTCCCCAGCGAGGTCAGGGCGGGAGCGGGGTTTCCGGCATGTGTACAGGGGAAGCAGGACTTCTGCTTTGCATTCAAGTTTTATTTCTCACATTCAGCACTGAGTTGTTCTCTTGTCTGTGGGCAGAGAAGGCGGCAAAGCAGCCCGGACCCCCAAGCCCTCTGTCCTCCGGCCGTGGGACCCCCAGGCCAAGCCCTCTCTCCTCTGGCTGGGACTGGGCGGGCTGCATCTCCCTTAGTGTCGGTCTGTTCTGTGGGAGCAGCCCTCACAGTGTGTGAGCATGTACACGTCCCACCGGAGCCTCCGCCACCTTTCTGGGAGTGAGGCTCAGATGTCAGCCTGTCATGGGGCTGTCACTCAAGTGCCACCGTCCCAGTGAGTCCTGGGTCACTGTCCTGAGAGTCAGCTGGGGCTGCGTGTGAGCCCTCGCCAGCTGGAAGGAAGGCAGCGGATGCAGCCCCGCCGGGAGGAAAGGGCAATGTGCTGCCAGTGGCGTGCGCCAGCGGGCAGCTCTGGTCCTGTGCCGAGTGACCGCGTGTCACCAGGGTCTCGCCGGTCCTGTTCACACCCACCTGGGTCTGGTGCTCTCGGCCTGTGGTGGCGTCTGCTGCTTTGGGGCTCCATCTCCATCTCCGGCCTTCTTCCTTCCTGTCTGCTGGGCAGCGACTTCCTGTGCCAGCCCAGGCCCTGGGCCCTCTCCTGCTCTTCTGAGAGCAGCGACTCCTAGGAGGAGGCAGCAGAGGAGCCGGGCCGGCGGCTCAGGCCCCAGGTTCCCAAGACCTGCTCCGTCTTCACTTGCACCACACTGCTGCCCGCTCACAGCTGCGACAGGGACAGGCCAGCTGGAACCTCCCCGGGTGGTAGGTGAGGGAGGCATGTGTCCTGAAGCGGGAGCAGGAGCTGGGGACAAGTGGCCGGCTTGGAACCTGTGTCCCTGTGTGCCTCTGCTGGAGGACCGGACGCGTGTGGTGAGGGACGAGGCCCAGCAAGACGCGTCTGGAGTGAGCCGCGGCCGGGGCCTGGGTCCTCCTTGTCCTGCCCTGTGTCCACCTGTGTGGTGTGGGGTGCCGCAGCCTTGCTGTGCCCGGGAGGCCGCCGGGCCTTCCTGCCACTCGGAGTGGGGAGGCCATGTGTGTCATTTCCTGTGTCATCCGCAGCCTCGGATCTTGTCCCCCACACCCTGGTGACGGTGCTGAGGGTGGACCTGGGACACTGGCCGCCCCCTCAATCTGTGTGTTGTTACAGGACACAGGGGTTCATTCTTCCACCCTTAACAGTGGCAGAGCAGAGAGGCAGGGGGCACCGAGCCTGTTGTCTTGGCTGGTGGTGAAGTCACCAGAGCTCGGTCTCCTGGTCCACATTCGAGGAGAGGGACATGCTGTAGGTCTCATGCGGAGGAGTCTTCAATCTGCTGCCTCTGCTGGGCTCAGGGCCACAGTCCAGCCCAGGGCAGAAAGTTCTGGTAGAGCCCATGCCACAGGTCCCGCTCATAGCCCGGTGGGTTAAACCATAACACGCAGCTCTCCCTTGTTGAGTGTGCATGTGCGTGTGCATGCATGTGCCGTGGGTTACTGTGGTGGATTGACCACTGGTGGGCAACTTGTAACACCCAGCTGAACTGAACCAGCGTGGAGCTGGGCGTGGGAGGCCCAGCTGAGGACTGTTGCCAGCAGCATAAGAGATGCAACTGGAGAAGAAGAGAGGCTGTTGGGAGCTGGTGGAAGCTGTAAGGAGCTGTTGGTTCTCTTGGAGGAGCTTGCCATGTTGGCTTTCCTGATGAACTTGGCTGTACTCATTGTCTGAGGAGCTCGGGACCTTATCACTGAGAATGGCTTCAGTTCACTTTGGGGGAGCTCTGGTCCTCACTCTGAGCACTGCTTCCTGGCTCTGGAGGGGAAGATGGTGCACTGCCCGTCTCCTGGAGAAGCTTGTTATGTTGGCTTTCCTGATGGGGACTCGGCTCTCCTCATCTTCGGAGGAGCTGGGGACCTCACTGTCGCTGAGGATGGCTGTGGTACCTTTCGGGGGAGCTCTGGTTCTTACTTTGAGCATTGCTTCCTGGCTCCAGTGCAGATCCCTTAGCCTGCTAGCACAGATCCTTCATCCCACTGGCCCAGACTTTCTAGATTCTACCACTGACCTTTGGGCCTTCCCAGCACAGATCTGTGAAACAGGCCTGCATGAGACATTGTCATGGGCTCTAGGACTTCAGCTGGACTCACGTAGGATATTGCCATAGGATCCAGGCCCTCAGCTGTATTCTTTGGTCTTGAGCATGGACAGATTTCCTGTACTCTCTTGTATGTGATTCCTTGGGTGACTGTTATAAATAATCTTACAAAATACATGTCCTATGTTATATTGTTTCACCTTGCAAAAAACCTCAAACCAACACAGTTACTCACCCGAGGGCTCTACCACTGAGCTACATTCCCAGCCCACTCTGGGCCTGAGCTTTCAATTTTTCTGCCTCAGCCTCCGGTGTAGCTGGTGCTGTAGGTGTGCAACATCACGCTGAGCTATCCCAGCCTTTCCTTTACCCCAGGTTGTGTTCCTTTTTTTTTTTTTAACCTGTTATCTTTTTCCTGGTTCCTATTGAGAATCTAGGACAGAGCTTGAGATTTCTTTCGCTCACTCTTGCAGTTGCCCTGTGGTTGGTCAGGTGTGCCGTGCGGACGGCTGACCCTGCTGATCGAGGCTGTGGCCTGACTTGCTCGTGATGCTGTACCAGTCTTGTTGCTGTTGGTGCTGCCTTAGATGTTTTCCCTTGGTCTGTTCCTGCGATTCCACAGCGCACGTCCAGTTGTGGGGGAAGTTGTGTTTCTGTACTGAGCACTGTTTGGTTGGGAGAATGCAGGTGGACTTCGGGGTGACCACACCCAGGACAGGAGGAGGGGCTGGCGCTAGAAGCGGGACGTGGGCCCACATCCAGAGGAGTGGACTGAGTCTGACGGGGCCCTGAGCTGGACATGCTTGTTGAATCGCTGAGCTTAGGACCGAGCATGGATCCTGCCCAGACCTGGCGGCACCTTCGGAAATTGAAGGAGTAGAAATGTGGTCAAAAGGGTGTCCCCCCACCCCAGCCCCGTGGTCCTAGACACTGAACCCAGGGCCTTGTCAGCCCAGTGCTCTCCCACCCACCTATGTCCACAGCCATTTTTATTTTCTCTCTCTTTTTTGTTTAGTTTTTTTGAGACAGGGTCTCACTATGCAGTTTAGGCTGAACTTGAACTCACTACGTAGCCCAGGCTGGCCTCAAACTCATGGGAATACTCCTGCCTCAGCTTCCCATCTCATTTTTCCTTTTGAGACAGGGTCTCACTAAGTTGCCCATGCTACCACAAGCTTCACTCCGGCTTCAGCCCTTGAGTGGCTGGGATTACAACTTTGTGCGCCATGCCAGGGACATGGGTTTGAGTGGGGAAGAGAATAACTTTCTGTTTTCTACTAGAAAAGATATAAATAAACTTAGAGGAGGCCATGCATATTTCTCTTGGAGGAAGACAGATGGTGGGCTTGGGGTCTCTCTGTGGCTCTGAAACGTCAGAAGATGGACAGAGGGGTTTAGACATAGACTCTCCTGGCCTTGCCCCGCCTCTCCAGGTGGTCAGTTGGGATTTGTGGGTGCCGGGAGACTCTGGGGATGCTGTGGGGCATCTCAGCTTCCGTCACCCAGGAAGCAGAGTGCGGGGACCAAGAGGTGCCAACATATGGGGCGCATGACCCCTGCTGCCCCTTGGGTCTGACGTTGGTGTGTCCTGCTGTTCTGAGAAAGAGCCCCGCTTTGCTCTGTGAGCAGCAGAAACCAGCTCAGTTCCTCCTGGCTTGGTGGCCCTGGAGTGGGCGGCAGCTGCATGACCACACCCGCTGGTGGCACCGGAGGTGTGGAGCAGGGGCCTGGGTCACGCCTTTCACGTGGCAGGTCACGGCTGTCTCTGGGAGACCCTGAGGGGACAGTGGGCCACACGCTGCTGGGACACAAGACTGGCCCCTCTGGGCCCACTCACCGCTGCTGCTCTCTGGAATTGTTTCCTGCAGAAGTCCTTCAAGACACCTTCTCCTCCTTGGGCTTCAAGGTCCAGTGCTTCTTGGGCCTTCCTGTGGACGACATGGTCCGGGTGCTGCGCCAGGTGGCCTCCTCATCCCAGCACCGGGGCCACGACAGCTTCGTGTGTGTCCTAGTGAGCCGCGGGGACTCCCACAGGGTGTTCGGCGTGGACCCAGCCCAGGCGGTGCTGCCCCTGGAGCGGGTCCGGACGATGTTCACGGGGGATGCCTGCCCTGCCCTCGTTGGGAAGCCGAAGCTCTTCTTCATCCAGAGCTATGTGGTGTCGGAGGCCCAGCCAGGTGCCAGCAGCTTCCTGGAGGTGGACGGGCCAGCGCTGACCAGTGTGGAGTCCATGGAGCCGTGGCCACTGCCCCACACACTGCACCAGGAGGCCGACGTCCTGTGGAGCCAGTGCATGGCCCAGGCGTGCCTGCTGGAGCAGCCTGGTGCCTCGCCCTCCCTGTACCTGCAGGGCCTCTGCCAGCAGCTGCTGCAGGACAGGTGAGCATGGGGTGGCTGGTGCCCAGCTGCCGGAGTGTGGTGCTGCTGCCAACTGTGCCACGTGTGATGCCCTCAGGAACCCAGGCATGCGCCATCCCCCGGGGCTGCCTCAGTCCTCATGGAGACTGCACAGCACAGTCAGCGTGGAGTTTGGACATTTCGCTTCAAAATTCAGTCATTTTAACTGTTTTTCCTGTACAGTAGCAGTGCCCACTCCTTACAGAAAAACCTAAGTGAGAACACTGAAAAGAGGACGCAGTGAGCAGCTTGTCTTAGTCACGTCTCCTCCCTGGCACACAGAACCCGATACCGCAGTTCAGAGAGGAGAGGGTTACTTGGCGCATGGCTTCCGCCCATGGCCAGCTGGCAGGGGAAGTCAGCGTGGCGGGTCTGGCGGCAGAGCCGCTCACATTACGGCAGCCAGGCAGCAGGGAGAGAGGCCAGGACGGGAGGGAGACGAGCTCGTCCTGGTTCCACCTCCCGACGGCAAGGGAGCTCTCAGCCTCCAGACGCTTCCACGAGCCCTGGCTGTGAGCACGGTCCTGCTCTAAACCACAACCCAGCGCCGAGCCAGTCCCTGCCCCGTGCCTCGCTGTGCTGCCTCCCAGACCTTCTCCTTTTGCACAGGGCTTTTCATTCTTAGCTTTTTCCTGGCATTTCCGGGATGGGGCCACCGAGCCCAGGGACACCCCATCTCCAGCCGGCTGCACCTGACCAGCCCTGGTCACCACGTGGTGTCAGCTTGCTTGCTCTGGCCATGTCTTTGAGGCCTCGCTGTGTCCTCGAGAGCTGACGGCTCGATGGGTGGGAGTGGCGTGCACTGTCCAGGCGTGCGTCCCGTGGTGAGGGCTGCTGCTGGCGTCCGATGTTTATGACGAGAGCGCTTTTCTGAGGGAATTGTCAGCATCCTGCTTGAGTCACGGTATCCCCCACGTGGACGGTTGATGACCGGTGCAGTGGCCCCCAGTCGTCTCTGAGCTCTTGTCCGGTGCATTCTGGGTGTGGCTGGGCCCAGCGCTGGGCCTTGCGCTCTCTCCCCAGCCCCTCTGGTGGCTCGGCCGGCCAGGCCTTTCTGGATCTCCTTGCGTCGCAGTAGTGTCTGCTGGTTGCCACCCAGCAGGTGAGACCCAGTGCTGCCCTTGGGCGGCGGGAGCGTCCACACCTGACGCAGCAGCTATGGTCTGTCTCTGCATTCGCATGCATTCCGCTCTGCCCTCCTGTTTCTTCCAGAACATGCCCGCTGCTTGACCTGCACGTCGAGCTCAACCGCAGAGTGTATGAGTGGAACAGCCTGGCTCCTGCCCAGCAGAGGTACCGCCTCTGCCTGCAGCACACACTGAGGAAGACGCTCGTCCTGGCCTCCACCTGATGCCCAGGCCTCTCCTGGCCATGCAGCTCCCTCTCCAGAGAGCAGCGGTCGCAGAGAGCACCCATGAGCAGGGTGCGCAGTGCAGAGCTCACGAGGGGCTCACAGGGATGGAGCTGGACTGGAATCTGGCCTCGCACCGTTTCCTCTCTGAGGAAGCTATGGCCTCTGTGGCTGAAACACCCAGAGGGGAGAGAGAACACAGAGGAGAGGGGAGAGGAGAGGAGAGGAGGGGAGAGGAGAAGATAGGGGATAGAGAGGAGAGGAGAGGAGAGAGGATAGAGAGGGGAGAAGATAGGGGATAGAGAGGAGAGGAAAGGAGAGAGGATAGAGAGGAGAGGAGATAGGGGATAGAAAGGGAAGGGGAGGGGAGGGGAGAGAAAGGGAGGGGAGGAGAGGAGAGGGGACGGAGTGGGTGGGCAGGTAGAAAGAGGAGATGGGGAGGGAGCAGGATTGTGTATTATTATTTATTCATTGCTGTATTCTCGAAAGCGGAGGCCCGAGTGTGTTTGCACGACAGCTGAGGCTGGAGAGGGCGGGGTGCAGCCCCTGTAGAGTCGCCCTGCCCTGCACTTTGCTGACGTTGGGCTCTGCTCCTGGGAGCCAGCACCACGCTGTGGGCACTTGGGGACTGGGAGAGGCCACTCTGGCCCCGCTTGGCCATCCTCACAGGGCCACTGCAGGGGCCGACAGCCCAGCGCCCGACTCTTCCCAGTGACCTGCTCCCGTCACAGACGGCTGGGAGGGGCTGGAAGGTGAGGGCTTCTGGCCTGACCCAGCCCCAGCCTGGGGGCTCCAGCCGCAGCGCCCTCACCAGGGTGCCTGCTTTTCCAGTGCTCCCTCCTCCGAGCCATACCTCCTGTGGTCTCACCTGCTGGTCTGCTCTGTTTTACAGCATAATTAGAAAACCTTCCTCTTTTGCGGGGTTACTGAGGGTTGAACCTGGGCTTTTGCACTGAGCTGCATCCCCAGTCCTTTTTTATTTTTCATTTTCAGACAGTCTTACTAAGTTCCCAGGCTGGGCTGGAACTAGCAATCCTCCTGCCTCAGCCTCCCGAGTGCTGGGATTATGGTCATGCGCCACCAAGCCTGGCTAAGACATTTCTATAAGGTAATAGTCCTAAATAGAAAAAAGAAGAGTACACTAAAATAATTCAAACTGTTATAACCTGAAACTGATACTTAGCCACTGATACTAGGAGCATGGTAATGACAAGATATCCACTGGTTAGAAATTTTACGTAGCCATTCAGGTTATATTTGCAAGGTCCTTTCTTCCATCCTGTTGATTACAATGTGGACGTGATGGCCGGAGCTCTTGCTGCCATCTGGATCTGTGAAGATAAGGTGGCGTGGTAGAGGCAGCTGCATGCTGGGGAGGAGAATGTTTCCTGGCTGCTGAGCAAGATGAACACACTGCCCTGGCACACACTCTGGGCTTGGCATGGGAGGAGCAGTCCCGTTTCTCTGAGCACAGCCGGTCCAGCTGGCGTGTTGTTATTTGGTTAAGGTGTATGGAATATTCGTGCATAGTATAAGCCCATAAGAAACTGTTCTACGGGTGATTACTTTTAAATGTCTGATTATCACTTAAAATGCACGTGTGTGGAAGTCTGGATCCAGCACCTATGGTGTGGGTACCGTGGGCGTCCTGGATGGGTTTCCTGCCAGTGCCAAGGGCTCACTCATGAGCCAGCACGACCAACCCACGCTGCTGGTGAGGAGCAGAATGCGCGTCTCAGCTAAGACTGCTTTTCACGTTCTAGTTAGTGAAGAGGTCTGGATGAGCTCGGTGTTTGCTGTGTGTGGGGCCTGCAAACCTGTGCTGACATCATAGCCACAGAGAGATTCTTTCTGTATCTATCTGAGGTTTGAAAGCTACGGGAGCAGGGGTTTCCTGTGCGTCCGCTGGGGGCGCTAGTGCTGCGGCGCAAGGAGGCAGCGGGTGTGGCCGTCCTGAGCGTCCCGTTGCCCACGTGGCTGGGCAGAGGGGCGGCTGTGTCTCCGTGCTCTGTCACACGCTCTGAGACCTGACGATTCTCCCCATAGTGTTCACTTTTCTTGGACTTTTATTTATTCATACTGTCATCAGAATGTCAAGCGCTTGATATTTAATTATTTGCTATTGTGTAATTTTTAGTAAAACTTGATGTTATGAAATATATTTTCATAAATAAATATTAATATGATAGTAAATCTGTTGTTGTATCAGTGTTCAATACGTTTGTGTGTTGTTTTGTTTTTCTCTTTTTGAGATAGGATCTTGCCATGCAGTTCAGGCTGGCCTTGAGCTCACTCTCTAGCCCAGGCTGGTCTCGAACTCGCAATGATCCTCCTGCCTCAGCCTCCCGAGTGCTGGGATTACATTCGTGCACCACCATGCAAGGCATGTTTATGTGGATAAGTAAACAAATAAACGTTCGGGTGAAAGTCTGACCCGCTGTGAATGCTTAAGCGTATCAGCAAACTCATTTCTTACTCTGCACTCTGTTGGGCGGTGATGCTCCTGGAGACATCGGGTGCAACGTGGACAGCTGGGGAGGTGACTGGCGTGGGGAAGTCGCCCGAGTCCCCACATCACAGACACGGCTCTGAGTCAGAGCCATGGGAGCCGGGCTCATCAGCAAAGCTGTGTGGACGGAGTTGTGCAGGAGGCGAGGCCTTGCCCTCCGTTCCTGTTTCCCCTGTAGCCATCTGGGCTGCAGTGGGCCCGAAGGTACAAAGGTACAAGCGCAGACCGCCCCCTGAGTGAATGAGCCCCCTGCACCACTTTCTTCTCTTTCCTTTCTTACGTCACTAAAGCTGCAGGGCCCACAAGGCCCCGTTTTTCTGGCTCTGTTACACTTTAAATAAACAAATATGAGAAAACTGTTACAAGCTCACCTGCAGAGAGTGGAGGTCACCCCAGGGACGGCAGTGGACAGAGGCAACGCCAGGAGAGTCATAAAGAACCAATGGTGCAGGGCTGCGAGAGGAGATGGGGACCCCGGGAAATCACTGGGATGAACTTGAGCAAGCCAGGAACCAGGTGAAACCCAGAAATACCAATATTTAGGAAAACAAGTAACAGAAGGAACGCACAGCAGGAGGGGAGAGGAAATCACCTTTTTGTAGGAACCCACAGCCTGAGCAGAAGGTGGTCTGAACTCAGTCACAGGACTAGGGTTGGGAGATGCGATTCCAGCATTTCCACGAGGGATCAGCGCCGGGTGGAGCCACCTGGGAGCCCTCTCAGGCCTCTGCAGTCTGTGCAGGACGCAGAGTTGGTCAGGGCCAGCAGGAAGAGCCCTTTAAGAAGAGCCCTTTGCCTCAGTCTGTGGAACGTGAAGACCCTAGTCTTCATAGCTCCAAAACCACAGCTGCTTCTCTGCGGGCAGCCCCCTCTCCAGGAGCCAGGAAATAGTGAGTGACACCGGGAAGTCACAGGGAAGGGGAAGTGCCCCGGTGGCTGAATCACAGAGACCGGACTCGGGCTGGGCCGGCTCAGCACGGCCGCTGGACTGCGTGGCACCCTCCCGGTGGGGAGCACGTGCAGCCAGGTGCAGGGACACACACACACACGCGCACGCACACGCACACGCGCACGCACACACACGGCAGTCTGAACTGTGACAGGAGGAGAACTCGGTGCTGTGAGGTTTGCAGGGAGAGGCGGACGGCTGCGTGCTCTGTTTCTCATCTGAGCTCAGGCCCAGTGTGCCCACTGCCTCTGCCCCATGCAGGGCTTTCGGAGTAAACATGGCAGAGCCTGGCCAGCCACACCTCCAGGAGCTGGGCTGGTCCTCTGCAGTGTGGCCTGCAGCCAGACTTGGGCACAGACGATGCAAGTGAAGGTAGGTGCACAGCCCAGATTCTTTCTGTGCTTTGTTCACAGGTAGGAATGACCAAGCTGCTGAGTGTGATCCAGTCCCACCTCTGGCCACCCTGCCCTCACACATCGGTAACCACTGAGGGGTGGAGCTCAGCCTAAAGACTGCCCCAGACGGTTTCTCCTACTCACACAGAGGCTGAGCAGAATTCTGAACTGAAAACGGTATTCACAGCCCTGCCTATATCAGACAGAGCCCAGCAGTAGAAGTCCCTGGGAGATGGCTGTCTCCATTATAAATACCCCATGGTAAGGAATATATTTTTCATTTGTTTTGTTCCGTGTGTGTGTGTGTGTGTGTGTGTGTGTGTGTGTGTGTGTGACTGCCTTTGGTTAGCTAGTTTTCTTTCTGTTACATTGCACTAACCAGCTTTTCCACTGCTGGGACAAAATATTTAACACACACCATGTAAAGAAGAGAGGGTTAACTGGCTCCTGGTCTCAGCAGTCTCAGTCCTCGGCCGGCGAGTTCTGAGGTGGCAAGGTCACGGTGGAGGGTGTTGTGGAGAAAGGCTGCTCACTTCATAATGGTCAGGAAAACATTGTCAGAGAGGAAGGGGCCGGGGACCAGACGAGCTCCCAAGGTCATGCCACCCGGCCTGCCCAGGCACACGCAGAAGCGTGCCTCACTAATCCTCTAAGTGGGTCTAAAGCCAATCAAGTGGACAAGCTTAATTATCACATTTCACTCCTTGCCAGAAAAAAAACATTTTTTTTTTGAGACAGGGTCTCGCTATGTAGTGCAGGCTAGTTCTGAACTTGCTTATGTAGCCCACGCTGGCCTCGAACTCACAGTGATCCTCCTGCCTCAGCCTCCCAAGTGCTGGGATTATAGGTGTGTGCCCAGCTACTCCTTGTCAGTTTGATGCCAAAGTACATCTCCTTAAATCATACTTAATTTCCAAATAAGAAAATAACCAGTTTATAATTCTGCCTAATGTGAGACAACTATCCTGTATACAACTGAAAGTGTATTAATCCCTTCCCCAAAGTCTCAGCAGCTCTAGCATTTTTCAAAAATTCAAGTGCAACTTCTCTTCTGAGTCTCAAAGCAAACTGTTAACTATAAATCTTTGTGAAAATAAAAAATAAATTATTCCCACCATAAAATGACACAGGTGAACATTCCCTTTCCAGAAAGGAGGAATGGGGACCAGAAAATAATTAGACCAAAGCGTGACTGAAACCCGGTGGGGTGAACAGGAAGTCTTTTGCTCTATGTCCAGGAACTGCAAAACAGTGGTTTTTTTTTTTTTTTTTTAATTTAAAGAGAAAAGAACAAAAACAAAATAACAAACAAAACAACACAAAAACTATAAAAATGATACAGAATTTCAAAACAAGGTGATAGAAAATCAACAATAGTTGTTGTATTACTTATTGTTATCTTCAAAGT